CAGCCTTAGTTTTTCCCAGGAGGTCTCCCCTCCAGGTACTGACCAGGCTCACACCTGCTGGGCTTCAGTGGGCTGCCAGCGGCGAGCTGCAGGGTGATATGGCTGCTGACTCTTTACTTTGAGTTGCAGTGCCCAGGAGGGGAGAGGTACAGGAACAGCTGGTTTTATTCTGAAAACGTGAGAATCCCTTGTGTGATTTGGGAGGCACCTGGTTTCACCCCAGCAAATTGCCACTTGCTGTTGCCGAGGGGTGTGTGTGTGTGTGTATGTCCATATCCAACCCCATTTTCCTAGGTTTCTCGTTTGTAAGGGCCCTTCAGAGTTCGTGAGCATCTGGTTTTCACTTGGAGCTTGTGTGGTGCCGCATGTAGATAAAGGTCACAGTTCAACGCGTTGCGGTTTCTGGCTGTTAGGCCTCGAAACGTCTTACTGTAGAAAGGGTGGAGACTTTCTAGAAGCCCTGTAGGTTCCGAGAAAGCTCTGCGAAGTCTCCCTGAAAAGAGGGAGGTGTTTCCTGTGCTCCAGGGACGATAATGATCTGTTTTACTAACCTTGCTGGGCCACCTGAGTGAAATCCTCTATCTAGCCGATTAAGCTCAGCGACTAGAATAGGTGGCGTTTCTCGGGGCGCATCTCCTCCACGACCTCTTGAAAGAGAGAAATGCTCTTCACACGGGGTCCCTCGGTGTGCTTTCCTCCCCCAGTGTGTTTCTGGACGACTTCCTGGCCACGGGCAAGGAGGGGGACCAGGACCCCCAGCTGGAGTTTGAGCAGCTGCCATTCTCGCACCCCCTCTTCATCATGTACTCCTCGGGGACCACGGGGGCGCCCAAGTGCATGGTGCACTCCGCGGGGGTAGGTCCTGACCGCTCCTGGGGCCGAACTGGGGGCACAGCGGGGGTGGGCGGCTGTAAGGTCCGCAGGCGTTGGAAGATAGCTCTGTGCGCCTCTCCTGCTCATTCTGTAGCGTCTCTGGGAGTAATTGTCCAGGGCCTGCGGAGGCGACAATTGTGTGTCTTAGCCAGGAGGTCTGAGAAGCAAAACAGTGTGTGGGCGACAGCACCTGACCGCGTTCTTCAGTCTGTCGCAGCTCCTAGATTCAATGCAAATTGCTGCTAATGTGGGCTCGACCTCTGGAGCCAGACGTTTTTTCCCTCTGTGCTTCATGACTGTTTTTTGTCACAATAGTTTCGTTACTGCTGGCTTTTCTTTCGGGGTACACTAGGTGGCAGCAGAGTCCCACCAAAAGAGTGGAGATCAACGATGCCAACATCAATTCCCTCCTGTTTAAGCCAAATTTAGTTCACGTTCAGACAGTTTTAGATTGAAGTCCTTTGTAATACATGGCAAGTTTCTGTTTGTTGATATTTGTCAAATATTCCGCTGTATTGAAACTGTACTTGAAGTCGTTTGTGCAGCTCCCCTGAGCTCAAAGGCTTAAACGTAAGCAGGCACAATCACAGGTCTCGCCCATCCTTCCTGATCATCGACGTACAGTAAGCCCCCCCACTGACAGCGGAAATCTGGTGGCAAACGTGTAGAACGTTTCTGCTTCGCTCTGGGCCTGAAATGACAAGGGTGTTGCGGTGAAAATGACAGAGGCAGAATCTGTCTCCCTGCGTCTGCCTGTGACTCGGTGCTTCGCGCAGGTAACGATTTTCGATTTAAAACAAGACACCCTCTCCTAGCCTACAGCGGCCGGATGTGCAGAAGTGAGAGTGATATACAGTGCCTTATTTATTGGCTATTTCACTGCCCACCATTGACTAAATCATTTAAGCAATTGTATCCCCGTTGTCTGTAAACATGTCAAGAGAGGCTCATTAAAGGGAATGCACTGATGAGCACGGTTCTCCAACACAAACAAGTGCCCAGGCAAAAAAAAGCGACACTGCAGCCATTTCTGTATTGACATCTACTCAGACAGCAGCTCGTTCCTGGTAATTATCTAGCGGCGTCTTTGTGCCGTTAATTGACCCTCTGTTAACGCTGCTTTGACAACAGTGGTGTTGTGTGTTTTTTTTTTCCTGTACTGCTGTTAATTAAGGCAGCTTCTTGGGCAGGGAGTGTCCAGTCTTTCGTTGCGTTGGCTTCTGAGCGGCAGTGTGCTGGTTCTCTACCACCTCTACCACCAGAGTTCATGGTTTTTTCATTCTCCTTTACCGCACTGCTTGGCTACATTACAGTAAGCAGCCTTATTGTGTTGTAGCAGGGAGGATGTGGGCAGTGTGGCAATGGAACAGACACAAACAACTACTGCAGCCTCTGCAGCTCAGTGCATGGTGCATGGCCTGATGCAGAAGCTCAGGCAGGGATATTTCACCCAGGGGGCTGCTGGGAAGTCCTGTAGGATCACTGGGTATCCCCGATGTGTTGAAGGACACGCGTGTAAGTTTTAATACCCCCCCTTTGCAACCTGCTTTCAGCTGGAGCGATTAAATGAGCCTGGCTTTTTTAACGTTGTTTGCTGTTTGGTGTGTGGGTTGGAGACATCATTTATTAGGAAATGCTTTTTTCTGCCTTTCAGTGAAGGGTGCTGACAGGATTTCTTTTATCGTGGTTCTTATTGAAAATAATGGTAGAGGCAAGAAGCCTGTGTTCTGTGGTTTAATTCGAGTTTAAGATGTTGCCGTACGTCACTGTCAGCCGTCTTAATTTGATGACAGATTTTATACGTCTCTTTGTAGGCGAGTAGGGCACGTCTCCGGACTGCCCTGGGGCTTCAGAGATCGCTTACAGAGCACAGGGTGGTCTCAATCAAGCACTAGCAACGCCGTGCTCCTGTCCTGTCTTATAGGAAACAAGACTCGATTGCAGGTGTATGATCGCTGTGATCTAAGTGTAAATTACTGTAAAGTAAATACAGATTGTAATTAGGCTGCCCGGACTCCTGTGTCGTGGAGCAGTTTGAAGTCCTGTGGATAGTGCTTCACGCGGTACTGCCCGGCCCGGCCCGGCCCGGGGGTTCTGCAGTGACTGTTGAGGTCTGAGCTCTGAGGTCTGGACGATCAAAGACCCGCAGCCTGTCTCTCACTGCGGCGGGGCGGTGGTGTCAGAAAAGCTCAGGGAGTGCTAAGAGGTCATGGGAAGAGCATTGCATCACTACAAGGAATATTTAAGAAAAGACAAGATCACTTTATTAGCCATATACAATTTCATGCATTAGACTTCAGTGGACGAGGGACCCCAATTCACCACATGTGCCCCTCCAAATTCTTTTTCACATACAGACAGAGAGAGAAGCTTGGGGTCAGAGTGCAGGGTCAGCCATTGTACAGCACCCCTGGAGCAGCTGGGGTGAAGGTCCTTGCTCAGGGGCCCTACGGAGTAGGATTCCTCTGCCGGCCGCGGGATACAAACCGGCAACCTCCCAGCCACAGGCGCAGATCCTGAGCCACAGCGCCACCGGTCCGCCCCGATTTGGAGGTCTGGGGCACATGTGGTGAATTGGGGTCCCTCGTCCACCGAAGTCTGATGTTTTAGAA